CAAATCCCGGCTCGACTTCCGTCCCAAGCCAAGCGCAGACCTTCTCCCCCCTCCCCCCCCCCCTCCTGGTTACAGTGACATCTTGAACTTTTCTGCATGGTCATGTTACGAAAGAAACCCTGTGGCGCAGAGGGATAAAGGGAAGCAGCTGCCAAAGCATCGAAACGCGTAAAAAACGTAGGGCGAGCCAGGAAACGGGATTTTTCAAGGGGAGGGGACTCCGGGGTAGGTGAGCTACTTATAGTCGGTGAAAAGCTGGAGTGAGCGAAGCCTTAACGGCTATAGAGTGCCATGCGGACGAGAGAGTGCAGAGAAAAAGAGAGATCGCCGCGTTCAAGAGGATTGAGTTCAAGCTGTCCGTAGATCTCCCCCCCCCCTCCCGGAAGGTAAATTGGTACCAGAGTCGTGTGGGAGGATTAAACGCTAGTTTTTGTTAAGATTCGGGTGTCCTCCGCAAGTTATTGGTATTAGGCCTCAATAAGCCACTACGATTCTGAATGGAAGTAGTATGCGTGCCTCATCTCAGAAAGGGATTGATCAACGGCGCGACCTTTATCCTTTGATCCTTTTTCAAGACGCCTCTGCAGCGAAAGACTTAGAGGGAAGTGCAACGAACAACCCTGCAGTTTTCACGTCTGAAGACTGGTGAAGTAGAACGACACAACACATGTGCTTGCCACATGCTGACTCTGCCCACTTTGATAGATGTCTTATCTGCTGTCTTGCTCGTTGGCATGCTCTCTCGCTGCTTTCTCTGGGCTCTCGCCCAACATCCACACCGACTCTTTATCTCCCGCTTGGCCCAAGTAGTTATTTGGAGCCTTCTCAACTGTTTCCTCTCGTTTTTTTTTGTTCAAGTCAAGTAGCACATACATTTCTGTTTATGATCCCGCTATCAACGAGCTTTTCGCTGGCTCATCACAAACTCTGCCCTTACGCTCGTCAGTTATAAATGACACTGTATGAGTAATTCTTAGCACCTTGATGAGAAAGTAGGAAGTTAGTTGGGCTACATGACCGCCAAATATGACGCAAGCAACTCTGCCCACAAACAAAATCCGCTTACTTGCCACTTTCAAGCGAGAGCATTTTAGCCCAGCATTTATCGCGAGAATAGCAACACCGATCAACGCACTCTATTCACATAGCTGAACTCCCTTCATAATTCACATCAATTTATGTGCTGGGGGAGAAATCATTGATGTTTGCACAAGCAGAGACTAAACTGCTGCGTAAATACAGCAATGAAGCATCTTCAAAAAAAGTTCAACGAGCAGAGGTAGAAATTTTTATCGATCGCGCAACAGAACATCTACTTATACACTATGCAGTCTTACAAAATATGCAACATATAATATACACACTACTTATGGGCAAAAAGAGAACGACCTCTAACAACGCTATGAGTATAGTAAGCTACCGAAACAAATGGGGCTTTTGGCAGGACATCACACCGAACAGATTTAGGGCGGTATACATTTAGCAAAGTGTTCAACAGACTGAAACGGTGGCCTCTCACCCGACTTTTGGGAAACAAAATGAACAATTAAGTGAAATGGAGTGGTTGCAATGAATCAAAAGAGTTGTCATTGCCAGAGAGAGCGAGAAAGATTGCGGCAAATCACTCGAAAGCAACGTACGCGGGCAAACTCTGTGCTACTGGGATTCAGCTGAATGCGTCTTGCTCGCTACGGAGGCTGGGGCGTGAGAAGTAGGCTGGGGTTTGCGTAGCTCCAGCCCGTTCTCCACCTATTGTTGAGTCGAGTAAGCAACAATAATGGGCGGAAAACGGGCTGGCACGGCGCTGAATCTACCCCCCCCCCTTCCCGTGCATGCCCCATCTTCAGCAGACAGAAATGTCTCTATTCAAGTGGTTATAAATGCTGCCGGCTGCCGTTGGGGGTTTGTTAGAATCGCGGAGAAGGGAGAGGGGCTCATTCGAGTCACCCAAACACGCTCTCTCCCTAGAGAAACGATTGTGGGGACAAGATAGGTTTAAGTGAAGGGATATCCCGACCCGAACATGGTCAACACCAATCCTTGATAGACTCGAAATTCAGGCCACATTTTGATCGAAATAATTTCGCAGGTGTTGATCTGGCAGAAATTTCGTCTCCGGTGATATTTGATCTCCGAGAAACGCTCAAGACTTGGCTCGCAGTGCGGCTGCCATGTGCCATCGTGTTTGTTTTTGCTGCGGATGGTGGGGCGTGCCAGAGGGGCTGGGTTTGGCGGGGCGCCAATCCGTTCTATACTGTTGGAGCGAGCGGGCAGCACAGACTGGTGGAAAATTGACTAACGCCTCGAATACAGCCACTGACACCCCCCCCCCCTGCATCCGCTCCGAACAAGACTATAACGATCCGTTTCAAGGGGGTATTATATTCGTCTCCGTAAAATCGACTTACCCTCAGGGCAGAACTTTGGATTGTTCAACATATGGGTAAAATTTAGAAAACCGGCGCTAAAGGGTAAACTGGCAAATGAATATGATGTGGACTCTTCTATAAAACCGAATAAAAAAGAAGGATGTAGTGCCTTCGAAAGTGAAGAAACAAGGGCGAAGACTTAGGGAATTTCCAGGCAGAAAATAAACCGCGGCCAACTCTAGAGTTTCACCTTTTACCACGGACTAGCTTTAATGCATTCAAGTTCGTCGCAGATTTCTGTTCTAACTATGCTATACTGCACACCGCCCTGGCTTTCAAAATACAATTATTGTGGAGGCTAAACGCCGAGTCCACGAACTGTGAAAGAGATTTCAATAAGTGATTTTGTCAACATTGCTAAGAAACCGAGAAATAAATAATCACTGAACATAAACCGGTGACACTGCTTTGGTTAGTCAATTCTTGTCTCCCTTGGGCCATATTCAGTATTACGGCGACGAGGGGAGTGGCTGCTAGATGAAGCGTAGCTATCCGCATATGAGAGCATCGAGTTTGTTTCAGGAATTCCACCAAGCACCGGAACACTGGCTCGATGCTACAAAAATAGTAATGAGAAGCTTTTTCAAGTTATGTGCATGAGCATCACATGGAGAACATTCAAAGGACTCCTGCAAACTAGGATCATGGCCACGGAGACGAACCGCACTGCGCAAGCCTGATAGGGAAGGAGCCCATAGGTAGACTTTCAGTACAGTGACCCCACCCTTACTAGGTTGGTCCCAGATTTCTACCACGAATCCCTGAAACGCCCCGCAAGGTTGAAGACAAAGTGTACATGCGTTATCAAGCCCTTGTCCTTGCCGTGTACGGGGAGAATGGGTCTACAGCTGCTGCAAGGTGCCACTTTCTTCTGTCAGAAAATCAAGTGCGGGCATGGAGGGTAATGATGTCCGAATGCCGTCTCCATACTCCGCCCGCACTGCTGCCCGGCCAGCCAGGCGCCTAGACAGCTACATGCGCTACTACTTCTCTGCGCTCTCTCACTCCAAGTTGTTGTCACCGCCGAGCGCGTTTCCGTTGGCGGGACCTTGCAGCAACGGAGAAATGCTCCACCTTCGGATAGCGCGGGGCGAGTACGGAGACGGCAGATAGCCCCGCCCGTGCATTTTCTATGCAGGAATGCAATTTTCTATGCAGAAGTGCACGCTCTGCGCGTACAGCATCGTTGCGCTGAAACACATAGGAGGTCACACTTTTCGGCTGGGGAGGAGAGCTGTGCTCGTTATTGCAAGATGGGCGTGAGGGGGGGGGGCCGGTCGTTTAGCGACTCTTGAAAGAAATTTGCGGGTGTGGGAGGGAATTTTTTCCGGTTGTTCACTTTTCGCGCTCGTGATTTTTCCTGTTTCTTTCTCCTGTATTATTTACCCCCTCCTTCCTCGACGGAAGAATCTTGGGTGAAAAAGGTAAGGGGAAATTGGTAGATAGGTGTTGGGAAAGGGGATGGGGAGTCGCATCCCGCGAACCCTCCCTCCGAGTGGGGAGGGGGTTAACTGAGCCGACCACCATTCACACATCCACCCGATGCTTACCCTGACTGCAGTACGGACCATTCGCCCTCAAATGGCTTACGGCTCCCGGAAATAAGGCGTACTAATTGTCTTTAAAAGCGCGATACTGACAAAAGCCATGGTGGGTGCTTCTTTTGCCACAAATAGTCTCTGAATAGCCATTCCCTGCTCCCTTGACATAATTAGCGCTCATACACCAGACGACTATCGAAATTGGTTCGACTAGATATAGAAGTGAAATGCGTAGAACACCTGGTAAGGCAGCGTTCAGACTTGTAGCGCTACAACTGTAGCGCTGCGATAGTCGCCTACAGCTGTCGCCGTAAGCCGCCGCGCTACACTGTAATCCAGCTTCCTTTATATTTTTTTCTTTCTGAATCAACATTTCTCTTTGTTGCCATATTTATCTGAATGCTAGCCTCCTGTTTTTTTTTTACTTTACCACATCTTTTCATCACCTTTTTATATAATTTTTGATACAGAGCACTATGATAATTGATTTTATTTTCGTTTCCGACTCTATTTTTTAGATTGCTACTGCGGATGGTTTTATTTCTTTTGCTCGATGCCTTCCTTCGGGCCTCGTTGTTGATCCCGGTTGCCCGAAAATTGTTTTTCATTCCATACGACAAGTAGAAAAGAGCTCAGCATCAGATAAATATGGCAAAAGAGGGAAGGAAAAAAAATATAAAAGGAAGCTGGATACAGCTGTAGCGCGACGGTCTGCTAGCGCGATGGCTAGCGTTCCGACAAGCTTTTACGCGCGACAGCTGTAGCGCCCATGACGGCTGTAGCGCGACAGCGGTGACCGACCATCGTGGCCGCGACTAGTTGGCGCGCGACTGGCAGCGCGGACTCTGCAGCCGCGCTTGTAGCGCGAGGTGTAGCGGTGACGGATTCGAGCGCGAGCGATCGTTAGCGCAACGATCGTAGCGCTACACTTGTAGCGCTACAAGTCTGAACGCTGCCTGAAAGGAAACCAATCAACGCCGAATGCTCTGCCCACCATATCCTTACTTGGTGTAACGCCGAGTTTTGAAGATCATGAACTCACTTTCCACCTATCCTCATGAACTGACAACGACATTGACGAAAGAGACAACGAATCGTATTCGCGATTGGCGAAATAGCCGCGATAGTTGATATCAGCGACTGAATACGGATGTGCGGAGCTGATCTACAAACGTAGTTAATCAGATTCTCAATCGATTTGAATAGCTTGTCTCCAGGCTATACAATTTTGATTGCAGCGGATGCTGGTGCATGTAAAGGGGCCGAGTTTGGGGCGGCACCGAACTGTTCTCCTCCAACGGCTGAAGCGTGCAACGAAAATATTTGGAGCTGAAAATAAGCCGCACCAAACCAAGCCGCCCTGACATACCCCACATTCGCGGCGAACAAGACTTTACATTGCGGGATAGTTCTACTGGAAATAAGCTAGAAGAGGGGCTATAAAATGGAAAATAGATGCAACTTCTACCTTATTCATGTCAACAATGGTTGCTCCGACCCTTGAAAGAACACTCGCACTAGATGGAAACTCTTCCTCTATTGCTTCCTTCAGGGCTAAATCATCGATGACAGGACCGCCACGCTGAAATGAACTGATCAATAGAACGTAATCATTTAAGTATTAGTATTAATAGTAAAAAAAGGAATGTAAAAAATTGACATTGTAGCGCACCCATGGGTGCATTATCACCCACTATATATAATTTGCTTCGTCTGTTTGTTTGTTTGTCAGTCGGAAATTCGGTTCTACCAGAAGAACAACTTGGAGAGGTGGGGTCAAGGTGGGGATGGGTAGGGCATGGGGCAAGATGTAGATAGCACCCTGCTAAGCTCCGCTCATT